AGCGCCGTTCGGCTGATCGTTCGCACAAAATTCGCTTCCGCATTTCAAGCAAATCATTCGAATTTGAAAATTTCCATTGTTTCTTGGTGAGAAAGTATTTTTTAATGGCATTAAGGAAGTTTATAAGATATTGGAGGCTATGAGTATGGCAATAATATGTTTATTTGTGCCTAGGAAGTTGTTATCACTCGGAGATTCGTGAATGCAAATGAGCGCTTTTTACATTTAAATCAAAAGCTTAGAAACTTACTTCCCAAAGTAATATTTCGTTTGGTTTTGATCAAAATAAATAATAATCTGGTATCGCCCTTGGACCAAAACGAACTTTTGATATATTACTGTCAAAAAAGCGTTGACTTAATTAAAAATCCATGGATTCAAGCCCCGCTTGTAGTTGCTAAACGGTGTACTTTTCGGTTGCGCTATATTGAAGAGCTGAGAACATCAAAGTTCTAATTTTCTATCAAAATGTGTTCTTTAAATCGATTGGAGCTTTCATTTTCATTAAAACTCTCTTTTATATCAAGCTTTCACTATAAATTATCCGTTTCTATCGAAGAATCTAAAAAAACCAATAATTCTACTTTTTGATTAAAAACTGATTTCCAATAGGAATTCATCAATTGGAGCTTTCATTTTTACTAAAACTTTTGCTTTCTCGACAAACCTTCTATATCAAGCTTACATCCTTATCGAAGGGCCGAAAACAGCAATAATTAAATTTTTTAATCAAACACTGATTTCCAACTGGAATTTATCAACTGGAGCTTTCGTTTTCACCTAAATATTTTGCTGTTCCACATAAGCTTCTATATCAAAGCTTACACTACAAAATATTGATTATTTTATATTTAATTAAATTTTCAGCAAAATACTTTTTTGTTTCAAAAGTTGATCTCAGTTTATATAACCTCTTTCTTGTTGTCTGGCATATTACCTCCTCTTGTTGAAAAAAGATGAATAAAGCATAATTAGGTCTACATAAAACATTGAACCAATTAAGAAAGGTTTCCAGTTTTATAATAACTTTTGATGAAGACAGGGCATTTTGGTATTTTAAATAATGATTTTTTTACAAGTGCAAAGCTTTTGAGGACATATATTTGTAATAAACCATGAGCGAGGTTTGGATGCTTTTAAAAACTTTCAAATTAAGAATGCATTGTAAAGCTTTCGAGTTAAGTGTCCAGTACGTTTACGAACAGATGTTCTTAAAAAATTTAAGTTCATTGGATTCATTAAATTAATAAATAATGAAACTGCTTATCGCTTAACATATTAACCTGTCGCTTCGAACTTCTGCTTCGCTCAGCTAATCAACTGAATCGTTGAAACTTCGTATGTTAAATATATTAATATGATCAAAATTGTCATCTCCCTCACTCCCTCACTGTGTCTGTTAAGAGATCTGCCATCATTAAATTCTGAAGCTCAAAACTCGATACATTCTCTAACACTTTCATCTCTAAATTTTGTAAAATTTCTAGTGTTAGAATAAAGCTTCAGCGAAAGCTCAACACCTCGCTCTCTAAATTTCGAAAAATTTCTAATGTTACAAAAAACTGTATACGAAGACTTAACACCATATCTAAAATTAAAAAAAATTTCGATTACAACAAAAAAGCTTATATGAAAGCTCAACCCTTCCATCTCTAAATTTCGCAAGAAAAGGTTTTATGAAGACTCAACAACCTCATCTTTAAAATTTCATAAATTTCGAGTATCTGAAAAATAACTTCCACAAAAGCTTAACACCTCCCTCTCTAAATTCTATGGTCAAATAAAATTTTGAATCCAAACTAACAGATGTTGAAGTTTTTATGCGCAATTCTTTCAAAAAATCGCGCCCTAAACGTTGCATAACACCGCCATTTACATAAATACCCAGCACCAGCACTAGCAGTGGGTGGGAAACCTTAACCTTCCAGCATAATTTAGCGCATTCGCAATAAAACCCGCATAAATGACATTTACAGACCATAAGCGACACTCGCAGACGCAGACGCAGTCACAGACAAAGCCTTAGTCGCAGCTGCCTGCTATTTGCCAAGCTGTTATCTACCCACGCAATTGCACTTGTGCCACCAACAACAAGAATTGCAATAAGAGCACACGAAATACAATGACATAGCAATTGCCTGAAAGGCTTCGAAGGCTTTTAAAAAACATTACAATCAGCAAATCGACTTGGCAATGTTCTGCTCTGTGGTGGCGTGTCTGCGACGGTGCACAAACCAGCGGATGCAAACATTGCGCACACGCGCTGATATTTTAAAGCGTGAAAAAAATGCTGCAAAAATTACAACAAGCGAAAAAAAGAAAAAATAAAATGAAAAATTGCTTTTTTGCAAAAAAAAAAAAAAAATATTTTCGAGTGGGTTGTTTGGTGGTTGCGTTGCGCTTTGGTACGCGTCCGGTTGCGACGCTGCGCATGGCATATGGCACGCATGCGCTGCAACATTGCGACTATAGCAGTTTTCTCAATGAACTTTGTTGCTGCGCTGCGCGGCGTTTGCTGAAAATCGTGCGAGTGTGGGTTTCATTCATACAAAGCCACTCGAGCAAAATCCAAAAAATACATAAAAAATATATTTAAGACCAATAATGCAATGAGTTTTGTAAGCGTACATATGTATATATTTTTTAAATGCATTTCCAAATTATATTTCCTGCGCTACGCGCATTCAAATTTGCAAAATTAACGAAAAAACGGCTTGGGGTTACCAGGTTGTGGATATGCTAGTATGTAAGTGATATGTAAGTGACTACTTTGCTAAGACTCCTGTGATATTTGCATTCATATATAATACATACATACATAAATGCACTCTKACATACTTATTTCGCTTGTATAAATATATAGTGCCTTTTTGTATTCCTTGCAGAATTGTGTGGGCCGCAGAACATGCGCTTCGCCAACCGGTTGTCTATTTGGACAAAAAAAATCAGAAAAAAAGTATTGACACAAAACAACATAAAAACAACAATAAAAATTAAATTAAACTAGCAAAATTGCACAAAAAATAGCGCGAAGTCAAAAAGTCTGGCTGCAAAAGTTGCCGGTGTTTAATTTTTTATGCTGTTTTTGTATATTCTTTTTTTTTGCTTTTGCATGCTGAATTGCATTTCTTGCGCGGTCTTCGAGTGGAGCGCGGTATTAGGCAACCCACTTAAAATGCACATATTTACCAATATTTTTATTTTATTCGAGTTTTTTTTCAAATCAGTTAGCTCTTATATTATTGCCAGACCTACGCGGCGTAAGTCTTTTTTTTTACATTTTGATCCATTGCCTGAGCATTTGTGGATATTTGTGACTTTTTCAACTTCTTAGGAAGTTTGAATTTGCATTTAAACGCGTGACTTTACGGCGGAAAAAAGTAATGTTATGTATTTGAATAAGTCCATTTCCGCTCGTGAAAAGTCACACAGTTGGCTAAGAATAGGTACAGTCTTGTACCTATTAATAAGAGCGAGGAAATTTTTTAAATAGGACTAAAATTAAAGCTTATTCAATATCTATGCGATCTCGCAAGATCTCTAAGGTACACAAGAAACTTTTCATATGAGAGGAATCTGGTTTTAAAGCAATATATTATATTTTTCGTGCCCGAGTAGTTTCTAAAACATTTACGATTCTGTTAGGCTAGTCAGCTGGGCTCGTGAGCTACGTAGAAAATAGTTAGCGATGGGAAACGGAGTGCTGTTATGTAGTTCATAAAAAGTAGTCATCGTTCATTGTCGTCATCGGGATTTCATGTTCTGCGACCTGACCATCGATACCTCTTTCAGTGACTGGTACCATTGGATTACCAAATATTTGAAGCGTTGCCATGCTAATGTGGGACAGATGAAAACCTCAATTGTTACCTTAATGCCTTTCTCGTAAAATTTGGTGAAGCTCATTCTAAGGCTATGTGGCGACGCCAAACTGTGACCAATGAGTATTCCAGTCATGTTACTACAGTCTCTTCTATCAAGAATGAGCAAGAACTATGTGTACTTTTTGACTTTGGCATTTTTACATCCCGATTGATCGTTCCTTCGAATTTTAAGCTTCCTTTTCATCCTCGTGAAGACAGTGCATGSGTTTACCAGTGTCGGTCGGTCGTTATCACTAGAGTGGTTCTTGGCAATCTCGTCCACTATCACATTGCTGTCGATGCTTTTATGACCTAGAGCCCAGTAGAAATGGAGACGATTGTTCCTGGCGACACTCTTCACGACGGCCTAATCTCACCGTGCCTAAAAGCACATAGATCAAAATAATATTAGTTTATCAAAAAAGTCTTGCGGTATTTCGCTAGTTGGCGCTGAGAGCACGTAGTTCTAGTTTTATTCGTCGCATCGGGTCATGCTATACCTTTTTGGAAAGCTCATTTCACGCGCTAATATGTGTTTGATTGATTGTCATTTCTTTTAAGTCGTTCGTGAGTTATAGCGTCGCAAACATGGAGCAAAATAAAGTGAAAATACTGCATATTTTACAGTACTACTACGATAAAGGCAAAAATGCATCTCAAGCCGCCAATAAAATTTGTGCAGTTTATGGACCCGATACAGTTTTTGTTCTGGTGTAGAGGTGGTCGAAGGTGCGCCACGCTCCGGAAGGCCTGTCGTCGAAAATTGCGATAAAATGGTGGGGCATGGCTGGGCATGACTCATAAAAAAATTTATGAACAATAGAAAATTCAATAAAAAATACCGCAAGACTTTTTTGATCAGCGCCCCAAATAATACATGCAATTATTTTTTGGTTCCAATTAGTCAGGTGGAAAGAAAGCCTTCGAGGCAAGACATAGCGATTCTGTGCTCCTCAAAAGAGATATTATTTACCCCTGAGTTTACTTTTTTTATTCTTCACTTCTTTCATACTCATCTCCGTCTCCTTCTAAAGTTATAGAATTAAATGTAAAAACAGTTTTTAAATAAAAATGTATAAAACCTTTAATAAAAAAAAATACATATTTTAATCATCTGCTCTCTTTTTCTACTTACAGATCTCCAATCAATTCGTCGCTTATTGGAGCACGACAGCAGCGGTACGATATGCCCCAGTTGTCGCATCTCTTTCGACAAGGGCAAACGCCGGAAATTGATCGATACCTGTGGTCATGAGCGTTGTTATTCGTGTATGTTTCGTAATGACCAGTGTCCGATGTGTATGAACAGTAATAGTTCATTGAAGGGTGAGTAAAATAAGCGAACATATTTACTAAGCTTTCATTTGAAAAAAAAAAAAAAAAAAGATTGAGTAGATTGAGTAGATTCTATCTCTAAAAAGATAGTTCAAACCAGTGCTTAATAACACTTAGCAAAAAGCTTTGGTTTTTTCTGAAATAATAATGATTCGACTACCAACTCTAATGGAGTAGTTCACAGTAAACTTTAGCTTAGACTACATCCATGAAAGAACCAAACAAAAATCTTCTGTTTCATCCGAAATTTTCTCTTAATTAGACCTTTCTTCTTTTATTGTTCCTCCAAGCTTCACCTGCAATTGCACCTCGATACACTTTATACTCGTCTTCCGCAAACCATTCTAATTTTGTTTCATCTTAATTGCCGTTTTGTCATTTCGTTTTTTGTTGTTTTCTATGTCATAAGGATTGCAACCACTAGATTTACAAACACTCTTTGTAAAAGTAGGTGTATACGATTTTATTGCTGACGGAAATCATTTGCCAACACCAACAAATCTTAAATCAGTTGTAACAGCCATTAAATGTCAGCAACACCTTTCTCTTTCGCGGCTATAAAAATCTTCGAAGCTTTAACTCAGCATTAGCTGAAGCTATAGAGTATGGATGTTCGTTCAGAGCAAGTGTAATCGTAATATTGTGACCAGGGTTTGGTTTTAATTTGTATGTTTTCTTTTCAATCAAATTTATTGCTCGCTCTCTAGCTTTCATTTAATTTGAAAAGAAAATTGAGAGTCATTAATTGTTTTTGTAATAATGAGTTATTGCTTTGGTTTTGAAACGAACTCGAAAAGTAGAAACTATTGCCTAATCAAGCTTGGGAGTTGGATGGTATTTAGAATTAATAAAATGCTGAGATAATGGTTTCCGTAGTACTACTAGTTTCCCAAGAACTTTCGTTAGACTAATTCCATTGAGAAAGTTCTGGATCACATGTCTGAAGTGGACTTTAATCCAGCTGATATTTTCCTTTCGTATTTAAGCTTTATTAAAAGCTTTGGTTGAAGGTTAAGAATTGTAATTGAAAAATATAATTTTTTAAGATTAACGCAGTTCCAAACTACAGCAATTATTCGAAAGCAGTCATCTTATGAATATCTATTATTGAGAAGACTTACACGATATTTATGAAGATTATTTCTTATTATTAGGCACAATGTAGCGAATCACTCTTACTTTGCGGAGTAAGGAAAGTATATAAACTAGTATTTTGAAGTGTGTTGACTGCGAAATTCTCCTTAAAATCTCAATGGTGCGCCGAAAATCATTTGGTATACAATTTTCTCCTCTTCAAATCGCTTAAAGTGCTATTTTCCTTTCCTCAACTTGTAGTTGTTGTATTCGTCTCTCTTCCTTCATTCTCTCCTCTGTTTATTCATAAGTCCACTCGGAATTCAGAAAATCTAGGCGAGTGGCTCAACTCAATCTAATTGGAACGGATTTATATTGTTCAACGTAATCTAACCAATCGCTACTTGTTTCTTAATTAATCACGACATTCTTGCTAAAACAATCTCATTAGAACACCCATTACAATTATCATAGCTTTGCCCGCACCCACAAAATCAAATCTATTGTGCAATAAGCTGAAGTTTATAGTGATTTGTATTCTAATAAACTAATAACAAGCGTAATAATTATTGCGCTGGATTATGCAATTCAATAAATATACGAGGGTTGTAGAATAGGTCGGAGATTTTTTTTGGTATCAAATGTAGGTATATAATTTTTCGAGGTTCTTTGAACTATGTATATGGTTATTAGAAACCTAACCTAACAGGTCTCTGTTATTGAGACTAAATCCTGTTTCGGCTGCACTTTCCACCTGTTTGAGTGTACCTTACACTTATAGGGTCTTGAGAATGATCTATGATAACATTCGGTTTCAAATCCATATAAAAATTAGTCTTCGAGTATGTTCCATAATAGACTAAACATACCGTCTATAAACTGAGCGATATGAGGACCTTTCATTCTCGCTTCCACCGATGAGTTACTAACTATTTATAGGTTTAGTATGCAAATTATTAGCAATACATCGCTCCAGGCGCGTGCTCAGTTAATTTGTACTGATGCGGCTACCAAAAATGATCCACAATGAACTTTAGTAGCTTAATATGAAAAGTATTGGCTCATAGTCAAGCCTTTCTTCATGTCCAGGGTTGATTTTTTTAGGCGAAAAATGAGATTTCATCCACAAATATTCAAATTGATGATGCTACTCCGCTTTAATTATTGTGAAAAACTCTACTTTATCACTACCAGCAGCAGTGTTGCATTTAAAACTAACCTGTGGGGTTTTTTAATGCCACTCGCTTAACAAACTGCGCTCGTAGCTTGCTCTTAAGGCGCATTACGCTTATTAAGCTAAAAAATTACTACAAACTAACACTAAAAACAACAAACAGTTTACCTACCAATCAGCGCAATGGTTCATTACAATAGTCAGTGATTAGTAGAGTAGAATTCGTGAACGTTTAGTGTCATTAAAGAGCGATTTTAGCTGCGGTTTTGCAAAGCTTGTTAAAAGCTGAGGGCATAACAAAAATCAAGGTAAAAAATACTAATTGTCAGCTGCAATTTTTTATAGTTATGTATACCCTGAACAGGGTATACTAAGTTTGCCATAAAGTTTCTAACATACGGAAGGAAATGTCGGAGACGCTGTTGTTGAAAACATTAACGTGGTGCAAAAACCAAGAGTTGTCGACCTATAATTCCAGCCTTTTGTACTATTAACTTCGGAACATGACGCATAAAACAGAAGTAGTATTCCTTGTTGGCAGTTTGGCCGATCAAAAGGAATTCAGAGTGCGCCACACCTCGATAATCGAAAAAACTATCAACGTAACCCTGATTTTAAACCTGCCTTGAAGTGTTCATTTCTGCTTTGACTAACCTTTGCCTTGATATTCGGTCGACTGATCATCAGTTTTCGGGTCGTAAGCATCCAAGACTCATCGATAGTAATAATACATTTCATGACATCCTGCTAGGCGGAGAACTTTGTTCCACAGACGTTAACGCGACGTGGTTTCTTGAACTAATTGAGTGATTTCGAAATAAATAGTGCTTTCACTTTTCTTAGGCCCAAACAATCTTTCGAAATTGTTTTCACTGATCCTTCCGATATTCCAATGATGCCAGTGGGATCTCTGATGTTTATCGTCGATTCTCAAGCACCAAGTCCTTTATTTTATTCACGTGTTGATCAATAGTTGATGTTGATGGCCATCGTGGACGTGGTTCATCGTCAAGGCGTTCTCAACACTCTTTGAATAAAATTTACCAATCAAAACACTTGCTCGCAGCAAACAATTATTACCGTAAGTCTTTTCCAACATTCTGAACGTTTCGGCATCAGACATTGGATTCCGCACATAGAATTTAGTGTTACTTTTTTATTGAATATTTTCATTCATCGTAAAAATCACGGAATGCATTTGGCATAGATGTCACTGAGAAACAAAAATTTTCGACGAACGGGTTTTCGCGTAAAATTTAAATTAACAAGTCTTACTATTTATTGCCCACAGCTGCCAGACAAACTGACCGTTTAAAAAAAAGGACCTCTTATATCTTTATGCTATAAGAAATGCACCTGTGAGGGGTATTATTGTGCTGTGAAGTCCATGTTAACGTTTGTTAATTTTTTGTAACAAGTTTGTAGTTTTTGAATTGCTCTGAGGAAATCTAAAAGCTTGCAAATTGTAGAATTGTAAAATTGTTTGTATGAACGCCTGTAAACATTTATATGGCGGGAAGTTGTAGTGGCTTTACCCCTACTTATATGCTGTGTATATAAGTGGCCAACAAGCTGTTTAAAAAGAGGTTAAGCGCAGCACTTTAAACTCAGGGCGATCACACTCAAGTCACTCCGTCACTTAGTCATTCACTCACGCCAACTTTGACTATAGACAGCTTCTGCAGTTGCAAATTCTACCTAACTGCTATAGTGGAGCGCGGTTAAAATAAACAAAAATCGGCGCAAAAAAGTGCGCAAAGTAGGTTTGCTTGTATGTGAGTGTATTTCTAACTGACTGCCGATCGTTTGAATTGCAGATCGTTTGCACAATTGATCGTTTGGTTTGTTGCTCGCTGTTGGGCATTTACTTTTGCACTTTTTCTGTTATTTCCACTTCATTTGCCATCTTGTCTATGTGTTCGCGCACTTGTGTGTCTGGTCTGTGTCTGTGCCTGTGTCGCTGCTCACCCGCCGCCTGTAGTGCAAACTGTTGCAGCTGCGTGCTGTGTTGCGGCAATTTGAAATCGATCTCCTTCACTTTACGATCGTTTCACAGTTGCAGCAGCCCCACCAATAGCAACAACAATCATTCTTAGAGTATTTCTACCAAGAGGGAGTCAACCATTAACTGATGTTAGGTAGATATTTTTTATTGTATTTTCATGTCGTAAATTTGCATAAACACGGCGCAATTTATCAGTTGGCATTGTTGCGTCTATTTTTCTTTCGATTTCTTTTTATTTTCTCGCAGCGCATTTTTATTGCCGTTCTTGTTGCCACTTATTTGTTAAACATTTGCAAAACAACGTCTGCGGTTACATTTTTTTATTCTTAACTAGAAGTCAAGTCGCGGTTCGAGGCTGCGATGCAAATGTTGAAGAAGGGTTGAGCTAATGGCATTATCTTCGAAAAGGAAAGTACATTTATACTTTAATAACTTTATAGTTATGACAACCAGAGAAATATAACATATTTTGTAAAATTAATGCCTTTAGAAAATGACTTTACTCACTAAATCACTCTGACGATCACCTTAGGCCAGTGTAACAAATCACTGAGTCAGAATTCCCATATTCTATCATTTGGATCTCTCTTCTCACAGTATATCGATTTTTGTCTCCCATCGAACATCTTCATGAAAAAGCTCGTATACTTCTGTTAAAGGAACATAATGCATTCCTCTGCAATCAGTTTCTGCTTGTTTTTCGCATAAATCATACTTGCAACTATCTGTTTGAAGCGGAAGCGTGCTAAAGAAAACTTCAAGAGAACTTTCCCACAATACGTTAACGAATTATAGCAATACACCGACGAAATTTCGGGCACTACAACCTTCGCAAGAGTACTGAACGCAATTCACAGTAGAGCTATTAAAAGTTTCATTGGTTCCTTCTCTGTGTATCCGCTAAATTATTTCGATAAATCTCGATCTTGCATTTAGGCTTAGTTGATGACAGTTCATCTTAGAGTTGAGGTACTACAATAACAATATCGACTGATAATCACATGAGGGATCGTCTGAAAAATTGCGCCATTTGCTATCTTAAATAATTAAGCTGCACAGAAAAAGTATCGGTAAATATAATCATCGATAACATCAAAAAATAACTTTAGGCGATGCCGGGACAAAAATGAGAACCTTTGCTGAGCCCCGAAATATGATCATCTAAGTCGATTCAGCAAATATTATATAGAAGCTTTGGTGGTAAAAACCTGTATACGAGCTATACTTATCATGGTTGTCAATATGAGACTACTTTAATAATCATGGATGAGTATACACTTAAAACTGCTGAAAAAATTCTGTTAGAGTAGATTCTTACTTTTAACATTAATATTATATGGTTCAAACTTATCGAAATAAACCAAAGTCTGGAACTCCATTCACACGACGATGGGGCATCGAATTAATTATTACGAAGGTTAGTGTGCAACAACAACAATTCAGGATTAAGAAAATGAAGAAAAAGTTGAACGGATTAATATGAAAAAGATATCAAGGATACCGTAAGCGATCGCTTAAGGGGTTACATGGATTTGCTCGGGTAAAAAACGGTCTTTATTCAACAATTTTTTCTCATACTAAAAATTAAATATTTTATTAGAATTTTTTATTGTTACAAACATACACTATTAACAAACAAATATTGAAAATTTTGGAAAAAATATTTTAAACTCGACCATGGCAACGCCATTCCGGTGACCTCTCGGAAAAAAGATGTGATGAATAGTTCTCAAGAAATCTTGGTAACCGACTTCTAAAACACAATCTCGCGAAAATGCTTTTAAAGACGGCTAGTTAGGCTAAGTAGCCTCGAGTGCACAAGTTCTCAAGGCTGTATCTCCGAAACTATTATATTATTCGGACCAACTTGAAAATGTAGTATAATATTCTAGAGGTATTGTAGAATTTAATAAGATAAAAAAAATCGTCGGTTGAAACCCGTGAACCCATGTAAACCCTTAAGGATCAATTCTGCATATTTATGTTTTATATTTGGATACTATCCACTAACTATATACGAGTACTACTTGACTGTCGGAAAGCAATCGTTATTCGAAAGACCTTTTAGTATGTGTTAAGATTTCACCGTCGATCATGATCAACCGTGTATCAGTATGTCTACTAAACAGTAACCAGCAGAAGGACTAGCACCAGTTGATCTTCTTTTAGTGGGCATAAGACTCAAGCTTCCAAACCAGTTTGCGTTGGTTAAACAGTGCATAAAATAGTCTGATAAGTTTTAAGCCTTCCCAGAATGACTATGAAAACTTTATTTTGAAGCTTTTTGGGTGTAGAAATATAATCGCAAATTTATCATTTCTGTGAAAGACCCAACTTTAGAGCTTTCAGTAGAACGAACGATCTATTTTCCAAAAAAATTTAAGTCTTCCTCAAATGACTAAAAGATTTTTATTGTCTTCTGTGGATAGACGACCACTAAATATTTGAAAATCTTATTTTTGTGGTATTAGTCGGAGCTTGGTTTGAACACACGAACTGCTTAGTGATCTTAGAAACTTATTCTGAGTATTCAACCCTTTGCTCATTTTAGGAACATACAGATTTATTGCTTTTATCTAATTTTAATGAAATAATTTTTAGTATTTTTTATTAACCACAATTATTTTTATTATTCTGCACAGATGTTGACTGCAACAGCAATGCTCAAGGTTATGACACGGGCATCGGTGGTTCGACATCGACAATAGTGAGCCCATTGGGCTCACCGCAGCCACAGCTGAGATCACAAGTGCAACAGCAGCATCAACAGCAACAACAACAGTTGCTGCAACTACAACAGCAGCAACAACAACGCACAAATGCCGCCGCGCTGGCGCGTTACATGCAGGTGAGTGCCACAAACATACAAAAACACACTTACATATTACTCGTATTACTTATGTCATCATCGGCAAATAAAACTACAAAGTATTTATGTATTTTTACTAACCAAGACCAGCTTCTAACCTCTACACGCCATCGTAACTTTTGGAGTGTACGCTTCAAATGCTGATTCCGCGCTGGTGCTAAGTGTTTACCTCATTTGGTTTGTGATCGAGTACCGACAAAATAATTGAAGTATGGGTTAGTAACCATCGACTGGACGGTCAGTCAGCGGCTTGGCTCAAGTGTGTGTGTCTGTCCGCCAAGTGACTGTTTTATTGACTGCGACGCTGAGTGTGCCTCGAGCGGCTTGCAGTGTGTGTCTTGCGGCTGCATGTACTTGGTAGTATGCGCGCGCTCCTTGTCTAACGCCTGCGGGCAACTCAATCCATTGTTATTTGCATTTCTTTGCCCGTGATTGCCGACTATTCAGCCAGTCAGTCAGTCAATCACATATGTTTTTGTTGTTGTTGTTGTTGTTGTTATTTTTCTTTGCTTGTCTTGCCAGCATAAGCGTCTTGCAGTGAAAACTCTTCGATTACTCATACAATAGCTTGATCGGCAGTTCGATCGCACATTCGATCTTTGATCTTCCCTACAATCTTTGTGAGCTTATATAAAAGACTTAGTCTGTCTGTGTTTATTTGTATTTTTCACTTTTCACTGCCACTTGATTGGCACTGGATTTGTATGTTTTCTGCTGTTTCCCCCTCGTTTATGATTATTGTCGGTATTTTTCTCAATAAATATTTGTTATAGCGAAAAGCTCAACTTTCATCGTGTTATCGTATATTTTTTCTTATTTTTCCCTAATACATACTTCTCACTTAACTTCGACTCTACACTACCTTTCGTACACTTGAATGGTTTCCTATCGTATTTTAGTTCTTTTAACCCTTTAAATATAAAGTCTCAGCAATAAAGTTCGTCATAAGCTTGTCTTACTCATATCAAACCAACAATTGCTCCTCGTATTTTTCTGTGGTTTATCGTTTAATACTTCAATACTAGTCTATACATATATTCATATACATTTTTTTTCCTTTATAAATTTTGTTAAATGTCAAATTGATATTTTAATGCCAAAGGCGTAACCTGAGACACCGAGACTTAAATATTTCATACACCTGATCAGTGAATTGTGAATGGCATAACCTGAAGAGCAAAAGTTTGTGTTAGGGTTGCCAGCTTCTATCAATAAAAAATAAATCCGTCTGAACCTTCCGAATTAACCTTTATTACATTAATATTAAATAAAAAATAAAAAAACAACAAAACCTCTGGATTCATAAAACTGAGAAGCTGGTTGTATCGGGTCCAGAGATATACTATTTTATGAAGCACTTCTGATACTCTAGATTGTATGCCTAATTTTTGGGTATTGTAAGAGATCTAGCTACTCAAATAAGCTTAAGATCGTGAATTGAATGAAGGCAGGTGTGTCTAATTTATTTTAAAGAATTACATGGTTCTTTTATTCTTCAAACATGATAGAAGTGACCCCTACGACTAAAACCTCACAATGCAATAATAATATCAAACTTCAACCAACAATATTTACTAAGTGGCAACCAAGAGTCAATTTACACACGCCGTCAAAGCATAAAAACACTTTTCCTCTGAGCCAACATCACGACTTTTTAAGGCGCTTACAAGCGGCTTACATAAAATTTAAGTCACCAAAGCATGAATATCAAATGACATTTGCAACAACAAAACAGAAGCATATACGAATAAAACGTTGCGCTGTTCTTAATCGCAGCTACCATACTATACTATTTATACTTTACTCATTCTTAAGGCTTGGATGCGACGCACAGCCGTGAGCGCCGACGACACTGACAGCCAGAACTAAATGTCAAAAAGTGTAAGGCGCAACAAATTTGCCAAAAGTAACACGAGGCGCGGCTGATCAGGCTTCTTTAACTTTGTTTTCTTATTTTGCCAAGCATTAAAGCTATTATGCTGGGAGTAACTTGAGCGCGAATTGATGTTTGTATTGTTTTTTGCTCTCTTTTTAATATTATTTAGTTTCGCAATACAGGAAATTAGGTCAGAAGTTGTTCTCGGTTAAAGAACACGCTTACAAAAATGTTAAAGTGTTTTTACAATTCAAATTTGTAAATTTTTATGCCCAAGCGCAATGCATTTCACACCAATTACTATAGAATTATATATATACATACAACATACGTAGTTGAAAACCCGAAAAAAGTTAATTAGTTTAAGCTGATAAAACATTTAAATATGGCGATGCTGAAGACTGGTATTCAGACACTGCCAAAGGTAACTTCAAAAGTACTTTGGTTCAATCGAAGTTTCCGACATTTGTTACTAAATTTTTCTCTATTAGCGGTTGCTTCACGGCGTTAGCGAACCCTGGAACGTATTTTCTCTGAGAAACCATCTTTAAAGTACACACTACCATCTACTATTTTTCCAGTAGTTCGCACAATAGACCTAAGGTCGTGGTGCAATGCTCGTCTATCTATCTAAGACTGATATATTACTTATATTAGTACGACGTTCGTTATGCCATAAGTGAACAATTCTTTCCTTAACAATCTGTGGAAACAAGAAGTGCGACATGTCGCCCGCAATGAGCGCTACCTTACTTGTTAAATTTATAGTATTTTCCGAATTTCGGCTTCTGCTACAACTGCGCACGCTAGCGACGTGTGGCGATTTATTGCTGCCGCTTGCGAAGAACTTTTTATTTTCACGCTTATTTGCTTCCACTTCATCTTCCTTTAACTGTATTTTACTTATTCGCACAGTTTGTTAAATATACCGCAACAAATCAAATATAAACTGCTGGCATTGATTGTTTTGCCGCTTGCCGAGTGCATGCACGTCGCCGCAGCAGTCAACTGTCAGTCGGTTCAGCGCATGCGCCTGCACGCTTTACAATTTTTTTTTTTTTGTTTTGTTGTTTCTTGCGCCATTTGACACGTGACATGGGATTTCACTTTAGACGTCAGCGCATATCATTTTTCCAGTGCGATTTAGGCTTTAATCGCTTCAGCGCATGCAGCGAATGAATGAAGCCAGCTAAAGCGGATGAAGAGGCCACAAGTAGCCATACATATATGAACTGAGGCAAAACTGTATTGGGGGCACATGTCAATCTGCGCACATCCGCGGCTCACCAGCGAAGACACCAACCAACCAGCAATGAAAACGGCTAAGCGCTTCAAAAGCAAAAAAACAAAAAAAAAAAAAAACTAGGAACGTCGAGCAGCCAGTACGCCCAGCTATGTCGACGGCAAATGTAGTCCCGGGTGGTCAGCATCGTTGATTGATTTGGCCAAACAGTGCGCAACTTACATAGCGCGTACTACATGTGTCTCACTGGCAGCGTACCGCGCCAATCATGTCCACTCCATGCCGCTGCCACTTGCTACTTGCCACACTCTTGTGTTGCAAGCGCGCAGTTATTATTTGTCGTTTGTGCCTGCGCGTGCGCACTTGCGCATTGCACGTAAATTGATTTTTAATTGTCGCCATATTTTCATTAGTTCGCAGCCATAAACTCCACTAGCGCGCTTCAGCTGCCAATAAACGCGTCATATACATAGACATACTTACAAATATACACTCATATACATATGTCTATATATAAGAGCGCGCTTTTACCATAATTTCCACTACAGTCTGACCATTTTTATTGTTGTTGCGTATTTTGCGCATTTTTATGGTCTTGACAGGCACAGACTGTCAACATAGCCTTGTTAGTGGTGTTTTTGTTTTTTTTGTTACTGTCTGTCATTGCTGCACGCGCTTCATTTTGCGCATGCGTTTTTTATTGGTATTTACCTATGCTTCTAATGACATTCGTTTATGCACTCGTAAGTCGTTCATGTCTGTGTCTGCGCATGCGTTTGCGCCATCGTCGCACATCATTATCAGCGTAATGCAATAAACATTGCAATCGTCAACATTGTCTGCCTCGTAAGAAAGTTAATCTACCATTAAGATTGACAAGGCTAAAGCAAATAGATTTTTCCGTTTAATGAATATTGATGAGAAATAACGATACATTGTAAGCCGGTGTAGAACTGGATTAGCTAGAGTAGCTATGGGTGACATATTGCTATTTATAGGCTGCGTTGGTTGTTAAATAAACGAGTTAATGGCGCACATGGTGAATGAATGAGCTTAATCGTTGATTGTGCTCGATCAGGTGGACACTTAGTAGTGCACTAAAAGCTCAATGAAAGCTCTAGCTTAAATGAGGTCTCTTGGATCAGGTGGAAACTTAGTAGTGCACTAAAAGCTCAATGAAAGCTCTAACTTAAAGAAGGGCTAGTTAAATAAAATCCGTTGTATATGCATTAACGGTTTTATTCAGACTCGTTACAATGATTTGACTAAGCCAAATTTTATTTTTTTTCTAAAGGTTAGGATGCATAATGTCGTAGGCTTTATCCTAATCGATGGATATCACTTGGACAACAGTGAACTTTAGAACTTTTGAGTCAGCCATAAGCTCCTAAAAATGGATTACCAGATCCTCATAGATGTATGAAACGAGATGTTGATAGATAGATGTTGGAACTCACCGCCACAATAAGGAGGTTTATATCAATCCCAGCCACTATACTGATTCTCAGTCTGGAAAAATACGGCCAAAAAAGTCTTTCTTCATACAGCATTGGCAAAGATCGTCCAACAAAATATTTAGCTGCAACGCGTGTAAATCTTTCGGAGCAGTGAGAACACCCACAATCGCGGCAAGTTTGATATTGCTAAGAGCAAGTAGTTCAGAGGACCTCATACGATTCACTGTGGGCCAAAAGGATCTGACGGTCGTCCAGGCTCTGCTGGCTGATCAGTGATTGCCAAACTCGGAGCATATGCATATGTCCAGGGCTATCAGAAAGCACCAACATGCTTCCAACCCGATGAAACTGAGATAATGGCTCCTCCCCATCAATGTTTTGCAGTTTCTGGCGATTACGCTGT